GCCTGCCCCCGTTGGATGATGTGGCAGGTGGAATCGACATTCGATGTTATTTTCTTCTGCCCAGCTCTGTATTGTTGCACCAGGAAAATGAGTCCCTTGGTTACTCTGGATGACTTGAGGTGTCCTGTAGTCAGACATCAGTTTAGTGAGTGCCTTGATGGTATATGCCTGGTTTGCTTTCGGTACTGGATAGGCCTGCAGTAGCCTACTTGCAATACTGATGCAGGTCAGGGCGTATCTCACTCCCTCAGACTGAGGAAGGGGCCCAATGTAGTCCTCTTCCCATCACAGAAGAGGGTTGTGTCCTCTAGCAAGATGGGCTGTTGTTTCAGGCAATGATCTTGGTCTCCTCTTAGAGCAAGCGTCGCAATCCCAGCATGCCTAGACAATGTCAGGTAGCTGTATGAGCTGTCCCTATGCTTTAGCAGCTGCCCTTATTATCTTTTGTCCCACATGCCATAGCTCCTGATGTAACCAACGGGCAGTGTTCTCAGATGGTGAATTCTCAATCATCAAACTCAGGACAGCGTGTCAGCTTCATCATTTCCCAGTGACTGTAGGAGCCGATGACCAAAAATATAGTAGACACTTATAGTCCTGTGTTTGACTGTATTCCATAGGTCTAACCACATGTCTTTGCCCCAGGTTGGTTGGGCATGGACAGTCCATTCCTGGGTGGCCCTATGTCCAATCCAAAGAGTGAGCTCCCAGTACATAGCCCAACTATCTGTACAGATATTCAGGATACCATCCACATGGCTGACAGTTCTGCCAATTGGCTGCTCTAACCATCCCCCTAGTCAAATTAAATTGTCTCGGTGGAGGGCTCCTATCATCAGGGACAGGATATTTTCCCTCCTGAACAGGGCTCCTCTCTGGTGGAGCAACCAATGTTTCTTATGGTGCATCACTGTGATATACCTCTGGGAATAGGATCTTCTGAAGTTCTTTTAATGATGATGAAGTCAGACTACTCCGGCAGAGGTAGGCGACCTATCACACCACTGTTTTTGCTTGGGCCACCCCTGTCTTAGGAAGGTGGGTCAGATCTTTCACCCACCCCTGAATCGGCAGAGTGGTCTTAAGTAAAACTTCAGCCATTTGAGTTATCAGCTCTACTGCCTGTAATGCAGAGTAGGCAGCCAATAGCTGTTTTTCAGTCATACTGTATCTTTCTTCTGCTCCATTGCAGACCAGAAACCAATGGGGGTCCGAACAGACCTCTGGCATTGCCACAGGCTCCAGCCAAAGCCATCCTGAGTGACGTGAACGTCCAACTCGGCTGGGAGGGTAGGAACAAATACACCCAATGCCTGGGTTTGGTTAACTGCCAGTTTCGCCTGTTGGAAAGTGTCCTGTTCTGTTTTCCCCCAGTCCCATAGCTGACCCTTTTTTAATTTTTTTTTTTTTTTTTGAGTCTGTACAGAGGCCTTAGCAGCTGCGCAAACTGAGGTATAAAGGAATGCCAATAACCCAATATGCCTCAAAACTCTTGCAGTTGCTTTGGTGTTGTAGGGACTGGGAACACCTGAAACTTATCTATGACAGCACTGGGTAGCACTTTGGTCTTTTCTGACCAAACCATCCACAGGATGTTTACAGACAGGCCCAGACCTTGGACCTTTTGGGGATTTATAGCCCATCCCCTCTGTTGCAAATAGACAGTTAATGAACCTGTTGCCTGTCCTACCGCCTCCAGTGTGTTGGATGTCAACAGGAGATCGTCAATATAATGACATAAGTTGACATCGTTAGGTTTTCTCCAATTAGCCAAGTCACATGCCGCTAGATTATGACAATATGTTGGTGAACGCATGTACCCCTGTGGCAGGACCTGAAAGGTCCACTGCCTGCCTCCTCACATAAACACAAACCAATCATGCGATTCTTCAGCCATTGGGATACTGAAGACTGCATTTGCTAAATCTAGGACACAACGGTAGGTTTTTATCTTCCTACTCAACGTGTCCAATAGCGAGGCAATATTGGGTACGGCCGCATGAACAGGTGGCGTGACCTTATTTAATTCTCTGTAATCCACTGTTATTCTCCATGTGCCATCCAACTTTCACATTGGCCATGTGGGGGAATTACATGGGCTGTGTGCAGGTCTTATAATGCCCACTTTTTCTAATTTCTGCACCATTCTCGATATTTCATCTTGCCCACCCAGGAGTCTATACTGCCTTACATTAGTAATCCGGTGTGGTTTCAGCAGGCAAATAGGCCCATGTTTCACGTGGCCTCTTAATATTGCCTGCACCGCCTGGATACTGATACATCTCTGTCAAAGTCTGAGCTCTGCCACAGTTGTTTGGAGAGCCAGACCCCATAGAATATCTATGCCCAGGATGTATTCCTGGGCTGGGGCAATAGACACCTTGTACTCCTGAGGTGGGAGGCACCCAACCCCCAATTTTAACCATGTTTGTGTGACAGGAACAGTCTGTCCTCCAAAACCACCATTCATCACACTGTCTCCATTAAATTTAGTTGGATCTCTGTAGATAGTTGATGTTCCTGCTCCAGTGTCCAATAATGCCATATCTCTCTGAATATTTTTTCAGGACCAACAAATTTTTCATTCTACATAGGGCCTCCAGTCCCATCTGGAGACCCTAGGGGGACTAACATCCCTCGTCACACCATGAACTATGCTACTGGTGGCTCAGGCATTGTGGCCGGAAATGACTTTTTTTTTTTTTTTAATTAGGAATAATGAAATCTTCTAGGTTCCGTGTTGTTGTTGGTATTCTCTCTATAATTTGGTTATAAACCCTTGGTTTCTTAAGGTAGATTCTGAAATTTTTGATTGCCCTTTAGTAGTCTCCAAAGCTGGAGAAGGACATGGTTGGACTGGGGGTCAATCTTAGCAAATCGGACCCCAACCCAAATTAAATCATTAAACATTTGTTTTCAGGAAACCCTTATGTGTCCCACCTGGGGAGCTCGAGTAGCTGGCGTCTTGGTTTAATCACTGACAGGACCTTGGCTTCTTCTAATGTCCAAATTTTGTACCTAGTCCAAAGGCGTTCTATTTCTCCTAGGTCAGCCACTAACTGGGCAGCCTGCTGGACTACCCCTTCTGAAGCCACCAGGGGATTTAATATAGAGACTAAAGTACCACAGAGATAGGAGGGGGGCTTGCTGTAGAATTAAGTCTCTCATCCCCACTGAGAATTTGACCATGTCAGGGCCATCAAATGTGTCTTCACAAATTGCTTCCCATACACCTAGTTCATGGATATAATTATGAATGTCCTCCATGGAGGACCACATGCCTATATGTAGAGGTATACCAGATTTATTCAGCCATACCATACAGCAGGCCACCATTAACCATTCTATTATAGAATAGTTTTCATTAAGACACTGATTACCTGCATATAACTTCTGCTTGAGAGCTGGATGGACAGTCATGGTGGCCAACTTGGATATTTCTGGGCCATTCACCATAACACTTTCTGCCACAGAATCCCACAGTCTCAAGCTGGCACGCTGTCTCTAGGTTTCTGCCGAATTTGCTGTACTAAATCCATCAATTCTGCTGCTGTGTATGGCTGGGCTGTTATATGCAAGTGAGTCTGGGCAAAGGGCCACTGATCAGGCAGCACCCCTACCAGTATACCCTGTATTTTCTTTGTGTTCTGAGTTCTAACAGGATGAACCTCTAGTGCATCTGCTGAAATCGGAGATTTTAGATCTAATTTAGAGTTTTCATCTTGATCAAAGTCTGTTGATTCAGGAGTCTGGTCATTGTTAATTGACACGTTACAAACTTGACCTATTGAAAGAAGCAGAATTGTTTTTTTCCCTGTTAATACGCTAAGTTCTTGCTCTAACTTCTTGAAACGGTCTCTCAAAAGTTGGTTTTCATTTGCTAAAGTATCATTTCAGCATGAATTAAAACATTTAATAGTGGTCATGTCACTGCAGAGACAGCTAATAGTCATTCTTCTGTTATTAGCATGTCTTTCCTAAGTTCCTGAAAGTAGTCTGCCACGCAATATGGGGAGATATTTCCCATAAAGCGTAGGGGACCCTATTTTTCAGTGATAACTGCTAGTTCATAATAGGGAGATCCTACAAATCCTAGGATCAGACCCAGAATCACTTTATCTAGTGGGGTAAGGTTCTCCTCCGACCATTTATAGAAATTCCAAAGAAAGGACATGAAGTAATTTTTAGTATATTTGGCCTGCTGGCTCACCAACTGTATAGTCAGTGAATATACAGCTGTTTCAATTAAGAAATATACAAGAAAATTAGGCTAAACAGGTTACCATGCTTAAGATGAATGGATGGAAAGCTTACCCTTGTCTTGGGCTTGCTGAAAAAATTGCAAGTGTAGCAATCTCCAAAAGAGTTCCTTCTCCAGTGGTTGTCAGTTCTTAAATGGGATCTAGGAGAGGTGGAGCAAGGCTCCATTCCTTCTGGCAGCATAGGTGAATTGCTTTCACCTGTGCTCCCAGGGTTGACTCGTTGCTCACCTCAGGTGATCAATCTGAGGTACAGGCCATATTCAGCATTCCCATACACTTCTCTTGCCATATTGCCACTAAATTTTCCAAAGGAAGTTGTGATGAAATAAAGTTACTTTAGATTTCTTCCTTTCATGTATCATTCCTTCCTCAGTGATATTCCCTCAAGTATCATTTTCTTACAGGTTAAAACTGGAGATGAGTAGTAGCATCGCATTTAACTGATTATATAGGAAGGCAGAATACACCACAAAGTCCTTGTTCCTTATTAAATTTATTACCTATGTTGGCTTGTGTTGATGCAATATCAGAGGACTGTTAGGAACCATTCATAAAACATAGTGACAAACCTTCATCTCTCTCATAGCCTTGCTTTCCAATATATACTGCTGTGTTCCAGCTGCAAAGTGGAGTGTTGCAGTTTTTATCACCCACAGAGCTCACCAACATTTTACTGTCAGCTTTGTTTACCTGTTCTTTGCAAAGTATATCTGAGAACAATGTATGTTTCTCTTCCAGTTATCCAGTTTGGCTTTGTCACACTCTTCGTTGCCTCCTTTCCTCTGGCACCACTCTTTGCTCTTCTGAACAATATCATAGAAGTTAGGCTTGATGCAAAAAAGTTTGTTACAGAACTAAGGAGGCCAGACACAGTAAGAGCAAAAGATATAGGTAAGTAATGGAAAAACATTAAAATGATGAGAATACAAAGTATTCAATGGAGGGGAAAAAAAAAAAAGATATTACTAAACCCCTTAATAACTTCTGTTTTTCACTTACAGGAATTTGGTATAACATTTTGAGTGGTATCGGAAAGCTTTCGGTTATTATTAATGTAAGTATGTGACTTTAGGAGCTTAACTTATTTGTCTGACATGATGTAAAACTGATTCTTAAATGCTATAAAATATAATAAAATCTAAGTTATCCAGTCCTTTCTTGTGGAAGTGTAAAACAGAATCTGAGTTATGAAGGAGATGTCCATTTACTTACCTCATTTTCTATATACTTATGTTAGATAGGACAGGAAGAGTAATTCATATAAAGATAATTCATATGAATGGAATCTAAACAAACAACACTCCAGAGAGTTGATAAAGATTTATCAACTCATTCACTGCCATAATTTTTCTGTCATTCTGCTATGGTAGTTGTTGATATGAATAAAAAGGTTGTAAAAATAAAATCTAGAAGTACATTCTAGCCCCCAGATAGAAGAACAAGTGTTATTTTTTTGTTCTGATTTTTACAAATATGGAGGAATAAGTATAATTTTTCCCGCAGAATGAGTTTTTCTGGAAGAGTAGCTTTTTTATATTTTTCAGTTGGCTCACACATTTTCAAAGCTATAAAATGTGAGAAAGGATATTATTTAATAGAACGAGACTGATTATATATGTAGAATACCTATTTGTTTGGTGTACAGATTTGTACATAAGAATTATGTATGCTTTATGATTAAAAAAAACTCATGCGGAGGAGTTTAGTTTCAATGCTATGACTTTTTGATCCATAGATTTCAAAGCACTTTAGAAATGTAGCTAATTGTCATTACTAAAGGAGAATGTGTGCAGAGGTGCTATATAAGTTATTTAATTTATTTAAAAATAACTTCCAGCACAGCAGCATTCTGTATCAATTTGTAAGCTATCATTACAACTTAGGCAACTATAATGCCTCCAGAGAAGCAGAGTTGTTTGATACAAGTCAAAGATTGTTCACTTAAGGCGTTAGTAGCTTACAAGATTTAAGGCAGGATATTTGTGCAGCCTTGCACATACCCATGAAAGTTGCTGTCAGGCATAGGTTTCAGGCTTTCCAGAACTGATCTGTGCTGGATGAGCAAAGCAGCTTCTTGGTTTCATCTGAATAACTTTGCAAGTTTATGATCCCTGACTATTTACTGTCTCAAAAAAGAAAAAAAAAAAAAAAGAAAAAAAAAAAAAAAAAATTATAAACATTTTAAATTATTAAATTTAATTTAAATATCAGGTAGTTAAATATCAGTTAAGTTAAATATCAGTTTCTGTCTTGCTGACAGAAATGTAAGTAGGTCTATGCCCAATATGAAAAAAAAATTGAATGCCCAGATCTGCTTCTTTTCTACAGATGTACAATGTTGATGCAGAACTATTTAGCAACATGTAGTTCTGAACAAATCTGATAATTCTTGTTGATGTGATCTAGATACTCATTTGTCTGATTTACTCACTAGTTTCATTCCAACATGAGATCCAATGGTGCTGAATGTTTAAGTCCTGCTCCAGAATGGAGAGTAGAGGATGATTTACACTCAAATGGTTTAACAAAGATGACACTGTGTATCAATACCAAATTATGCTTCAGAATATACCAACCAGCTATTATGTCTTACACTTTAAAGCTAAAGAGCTTCTAATGGCTTGAAAGAGAAAAAAAGTTAGAGAAATGTAAAAGGATTAGTTGTTTTTGCTACTCTACGATCTGAGATATATGCCATCTCCCTAACTATTGCCTTCTCCTGGAGGCACAAATCAAATTACTGTGTTTATATGATCACCCAGTGATTGAACCCCAGTACAAGGTCTGCCCATTTAACTTGCACTTCATCACTCTTCCAAACTTATTTGAACATGAAAACTATCACCTAAATTAATTTAAGCTGAGACACATTAGACACAGATTCACCATGTTGTCTCTTTTTTTTTTTTTTTTCCCTCCATCTATTTGTGTGTGTGTGTGTGTGTGTCAGGCTTTTGTAATTGCTGTCACATCTGATTTCATTCCACGCCTTATGTATCAATATGCATATAGTCAAAATGGAAGCATGCATGGCTTCATCAATCACACGCTCTCATACTTCAATGTCAGTCATCTCAAGGCTGGAACACAACCAGAAAACTCCCCATTTGCACAGGATATTTTATTCTGCAGGTAAAGTATTTCTGATGACAGTTTTCTATTTCTTTTGACAAAGTTTCCCCAAGTGGGAACTGATAATATTTGTGTCTTAAAAAGCTGGTTTTAAGAATTCTGCTTTTAGACTATTCTCCCAATGTTAGAAGGTGCTTAGAATGAGTTTTCCCACACATTAAGAGGAGAAATATACAATTTTGCAGACTTAATCAAATAAAAAATCCCTTCCATATGTGTGCAAGAAACAATTTTCATTAAGGACAAAATTCAGCTTTTAAACTAGATTCTCACTAATTAGAACCAGACTTTCCTTTTTGTTAAGCTCAGTGTTTACTTTATGAGATTTGAGTTTTCAATATGCTCTGTCTGTCTTTAAAACCTGCACTGTTTCCTGCGTACAGATCTTATGCTTAAATTTCATCTTTTCAGGCTAGGGAAACAAGGGCCAACTACTAATAAATATGTTGAAAATATCTAGTCCACTACTCCTCAGGAAGAGCAGAAAACTGTACTGTGGAGATAGTTATGGAACAGTTACAGTTTATAAAAGAAATCACTGTAACAGTTCCAACACTGTCAGTGTAACCTTGCTTTTCCACAAAAATATCTCTGAATTCAGGGAACCGCTTCAAGCTGATGCAGCTGAAGGCTGCTCAAAATTGAGCCCCATAGTCAGTGTTGTAGTCAATAGCCTGGCTCACTTTCCTTTCTGATTCACTTGGAGTCACACTGTATTTAGCTTCTGCAGTCACAAGAGATCATTGCAAAATTTCCTCCTTCATTTCCCTTTGAAGAGAGCTTTAATTTATATAGTTTTTACTACACAGACATCTTAAATTTGTCTCCTTTGTTTTGACACAGAGATATGTTCTCATACATCCTCTCTCTTATTCCTGATATATGCCATGGTTTTTGAATCTCATGTTTCTGACAGAAACCATCTGTAACTCTTCTAGTCCCAAAACTAATTTCACCTCTATGTTTCCCAACCTCCTTTCTCCAACTCAGATTTTGGGTCTCCTGCTTTCGTTGTTTTACTCACTGATCAAATTTTTGCTGAAGTGTAAAACAAGGGAATTCTGAGAATCTGTCAGCATATTCTCTCAAATCAGTGGCATAGCAGGGTTGCAAAACTAACTACAAAGAAGAGCAGAATGATTAGACAAATACTACAGGTGAAATTCACATCAGTTGCACCTTTTCTTGGAATATATTTTCATTGAATCCTGAGATACTGGCAGAAAATACTGCTAGTTATTGAAGATAGTATTGAGTGTTTTCTTAATAAAACTTCAGAATTTTCCTGTCATTCACTTGACTTCATTCTCACTGACAAATCTGTTTTCAATATACGGATAGATTTCTCCCATTATTACTTCCAGTGATACATGTATTTCTGCATTTGTAACTTTTAAAATAAATTGTATTTAGAGAGTAGATGCAGATCTCTAAGGCAGCCAGATTTTTCTAATAGGATTGCAGTTAAGTTATGACTATCTCTTCTACAAATCTTTAAGAGACACTCTCAGTGTGACATGAAATGCTTGTAACTAAAGCTAGTTAGAATGCACACCTCTCTTGCCAAAGCTTTTTCTTCATCTTACAGTTCTTGAGAGAAAAAAAAAAGTTATACATTTCAATTCAATAAAAAAATAAATAATACAATTGGTCTTACTTATTTGTTGAGTTTACTCTTCTAAAAGTAAAGACAAGCAACCATCTGAAGGTGAAGAGAGAAACTTACTTTGTAATTAGGCTTTTAACTTAAGTTCTGTAAATTGCCTTCTAGAGCAGTCTACCTCTTTTCATTGATTATTTAAGGGATCATATTCTAGTTAGATTACTGAAGTAGCCAAAAACATTCCCTTGCTTCTATATGACTGCATATTTCTGAATTAAGACTACATTCCCAATTGCTACTAAATCAATTTTTACCATGCTTATTTTTCTGATTGAGAACAGCCCTGCAGTGAGGGATTTGGGGTCCTGGTGGATGAAGAGCAGGACATGGGCCAACAGTGTGCTCTTGCAGCCGAGAAGGCCAACATTATCCTGGGCTACACTGAAAAAGGAGTGGCTCACAAGGAGAGGGAGGTAATTGTCCCCTCTGCTTTGTCCTTGTGAGACCTCATCTGAGTTCTGGGTCCAGGCCTGGGGGCCCCAGTAAAGGAAGGATGTGCAGCTGTTGGATTGGGTCCAGAGGGAAGCCATAAAGATGTTCAGAGGGCTGGAGCACCTCTCCTATGAAGCAAGGTTGAGGGAGCTGGGCTTGTTTAGCCTAGTGAAGAAAAAACCTTAGATTAGAAAAATTTAGATTAGATGTTACAAAGAAATTTTTTACTCAGTGTGGTGAGGTATGGGAGCAGGTTGTGTGGAGAAGTTGTGGACACCTCATCTCTGAAGGCATTCAAGGTCAGGTTGGACGGGATCCTGGGCAGCCTGGTGTAGTGTCTTACAAACCTACAAATGGTAGGGGAGTTGGAACTGGATGATCCTTGATATCCCTTCCAACCCAAGCCATTCTATGATTGTTTGATTTTCTTAGGAAATAATGTGTTTTGCTGAAATTGCTTGAGGAGGGGTGGAAGGAAGTTCTTTAATGAGACCTACCCATCTGTTCAATACCCATCTTACATAAAATCTTAAATATTTGAATGTAATCATTTTTGAGAAAGAAGTCTAGAAGTTGGTGTAGTCTGCACATGCTTATCTTCCACTCCTGCACAGGCAAAATATAATCATGCTTAGGATCACATTAATATTAAGCAGTGGTATTTGTCTCACCTGCCTGTAATCCATGGAAAATATTCTTTTCCATTCCCTCCGTGGTCACTGGAGGCATTGTAAATGCAGAGAATAAATGCCCTCTATCTTGGGCACCTTTCTTAAGATTGCCTGTGGAATGTACATACCTGCTTACTTTGACTACAGATAAAGGCTAGATGAGTGCATATGGTTACGATTACTAGCTTTTAGGCAGTTAAGAAAAGATAATAGAGCAGGAAATTCATTCCCAGTCAGGAACTTCTGGGAAGGAATCTGTGCTGCCTCTTATGTGGTCACATGAGAGCTGAGAGCAGACAAAAAGAGAAAATATAAAACTACTTGTGGTAGACAAGGTAAAATGTCTTAAGCTTCAGGGCTCTCCTCTTTCTTTGCTCATTATTCTGTTCCCGTGAGCTCTGCTATTTCCTGTGTTAGTATTTGCTATGAATTATTGCTTAGCATTATGTTAAGCACGAGAGTCTGCATCATCTCTATACTTGTCCCACCCACTAGTAAGACTGTGTAGCTCTTTATTGCTCTCTGTTCTTACCACGTTTTAATTTGTATTACAGAATTAGTGTGTGTTTTTCTTTGGCAAATTCCTCTATCCATATGAACCTCTCACTTTGTTGTGACTTTGCTGTATTAACTTTGCAACTGTTTACCTGGTCTCAGTTACCGGACTCTGCTTCTGGAATATGACTCTACCAGTGTATCTGGAAATTCACTTCTCAGATTACTGTGGGTATAATGGAGGAGGTGAAATACGGGAAGGGAATAACACATATTAGGTATAAAAGTAGTCCCTGCCTGGGAATATCAGGTCTGTGCTACCATTTAATAAATAGATTTAATAAATAGATTGCAAACATGCCCACGTGCTACTCTGAATGAGAAACAACTATGAAAGTATTTCTGTGCCCTTATCAGGAAACAGTTATGAAAAGATATCCATTCATTGTTTCATTATCAGCCACCTCATTTGCATCTTACCAAAGTCACAACTTTGTGTGGAACTACGATTGTGATAAAACATGAGGTATCTTGCTTGTGTCCCAGGAGACAGGCAACAAGCCCTGTCCCTTAAGCAGGAAAAAAAATCTGTTTTTCTGCTTCTGGCAAGTATGTTGGGAACAAGTTGACCTCTCTTAGGTTTCTGTGTTCTCTAGAGATAAACGTGGTTAAAATAAGCCTGAATTTGCTGTTTACGGGCATTGCCAGAAATTAAAGTATCTTAAAAATAACAATAGCAAACCAAAACCAACTCTCCCATCAAAAATACAGAATAGATTCATTGAAGATTTTGAGCAGCATTTAATACAATGCTGTGAACTCTTTGACACTGCTTCCAAAAAAAAAATTACAGTAGTGCCAATCTGACACACAACATTATTGTATTTTTTTTTCCAGAGCAAAATGGTCTCTGTGTAGCTGAAGGCAAATTTAAAGCAAAGCTTGCAAAGTTATGTAACATAACTCTAGTCCTTTTAATCTTCATAATTAGGTATGATAATGGAGTACATGAAAATATTCTGGTTACACTGAAAAGAAAAAATGCAAAAGATAGGGGGTAATTACCAGGACTTTTCCCTTAACATAACTCTGCTTCCATATTGAGCAAATTTATAAAATGTCTTTGAAATACTTAATTTCCTTACTGCCCTGGGATTCGTCTAACCTACACCTGGTGATCAGTACTGCATTCTAATTTTTTCCCTGAACAATTCTTATATACCTGTGCACTGATGAAACACTACTTCCTATTGTTTCAGTAACGCTGTCTTCAATTTCTTGTTAAACACCAGATTAAAAAGGAGACTAAACAGCTCAGCTTATTTAGATTCATTTGCAGTTCCAACTACCTACCCACAATCCACAATTCTGATTATTTCTTTCTTTTTTGACAAATAAACTACTTGGTAAATATTTCTTTCTTTCTCTGCATTTCTTTTACCTCTAGCTGCAGATGAGTTTTACCTAAGTGATGCCTGATTCTTCTGTCTGTTTTCACTTAACTTCCCCAACATTTCCCTACTTTCAGTGTACAGTTTTCTTTATTCTATTCTCTATTCTTAAACCGTATTGATTACTTTTTTTTTTTTTTTTTTAAGTGGAATTAAAATGGAATTAAGAGTTGTTTGGTCTTTAAATTCAATAGTCTTCGGAGCATCAACTGTTTATTCTTTATAGCACACATTTTGAATGACGCATTTTAAAAGCAAAGAATTGAAGAGATGAGAGAAAATACATACAAAGAATTCTGTCCATCCTCCCTCCCCCTCCCCCCCCCCATGTAGTACAAAAAACCTAGATTATTGAACTTCAAAGTTTCTCATGCTACGAAATAATTTAAAAGGGAAATGGGTAGCCAAGGCCCGCATATCTTGTCTGTAACTCTGACAATACACCTTTCACCATTAATCATTTGCTAGTGTTCTGCTGTCTGTTGATTCAACATTATAAGCAGCAGAATTTCCCACTTGGCCAGGTGGCATTTTCACAGGATCTAATGTCCTGCAATGCTGTTATGGTTTGTTAATCTTCAAATACATTAAATTGAAAGTCCACCACAGCTGGTGACCATTCCAGGTGAACCTTTGCTCAGTTCCAAGACTGGAATTGGCTTATAGTGCTAGACTAATTCCACAACAAACTTGGTAGCTTTCCTCGGCTTTGTTATTCAAGCATATTAAATTAAATGGAACTATTCTGGCCCTCACTGCAGCCCTGTTACACTGGTTTGAGAAGCAAATGGGATTACATGTACAAAAGATTGCAAGAGGGGAAATCTGACAATGCAGGCATAGCATAAGGCCAAATACAAACCCAATATAAGATAGGAATGAAAGCTGGGATACTGTGTATGCTGGGATATTGTGCACGCATGGAGTAGAACTGCATTGTAACCCAACCCAGGTAATGCTTACATATATCAGAAACAAACCTCTTTTAAATTTTTCTCCTCCTCTTCCTCCTCCCTTTCTGCATCACTGGCTGTGACCTAGGTACCTTTGCTTTGAAAAGCATTAGTTGTCTCTGTCAGTCCTAAGGGCACAATTTCTGCATAGTTATCATTTTCAACTGTGGTTGTTACTTCCCAAAGTGGAGCAATACACGTGCCCTTCTTTAATCTTTTCTGGTGAATCAGTCTCCTTAGCCCCTCCATTTTTTTTGCTGAATTCCTTTCAGTTTGTTCCTTTTATCTCTTTTGTTCATATTTTTTTCTTTCTTTCTCCTCTGAAATCCTCACAGCTGAATGGCTGAATGCAAAATTCTAGGTGTGGGTTTACCTGAGCTGTTCAGAGAAGGGATAATACCTCACAATACCATCATGCCTTCTGTATATATGTATTCACAAGTAATACTTACCTGTTGCCATACTTTGCTATATTTCAAACTTGTACCAACCAGCTGACCACTACAAGCTGAAGGTTATTTTTATTGCATTTACTTTCAATGTTTATGCTTTCAAAGATCCTGTAGCTGTTTTATTTTTAATTATTTTATGTGTTCCCAGATTATGCTCAGTATGTTTTCTGTCTGTATTTCTTACTGCTTTCTATATTCCCTGCTACTTGCAAAGTTTTCCAATTTAGGAGCATCTGTTAGTCTGTTGTTTATTTCCAAATGATTCATGGTGATACTAATCGTCTTTGCACTAAGCCACCAAGGCTCTGTTTTATCTTATCTAAGGCTAGTCAGATATTTTAGGAAGTGCCTTTCTTGTGGCTTGCCTTGTCATTTATGCAGAGGCAAGAACCACAAGAATGTGAGTCAGATATTACGTTAGATAATTTACTCCCAAATTGAACTCAGGTGTGATGAATGCAAGCTTGTCTCCTTTCTTCTGAGAATGCCTTGGATTGTTTTCTGCTTGAGTTTCAATACTTTATTCCCTGTATACTGAGATCAATTTACAAAATAAATGACACATTTTGAACTCAGAAAAATCTAAAAATGTCCAACACTAGAATAATATTCTGCTCTTGGTTACATTCAGTGGCAATAGCCCAGCTATAATTCTAGAGTTGTGTTATATAATACAGTTTAAAGTAGGAACATCTGGAAGATTTCATTTGTTAGATTTTGTGATTGGAAAATTGTGTTAATCAAAGCAGTTGGTATAGGACAATATTGCTGGAATTTTGTGACAAAGGAATTGTTTTCATTGACAGGTTTAAGGATTACAGAGAACCACCTTGGTCCCCAAATCACTATGAGTTTTCTAAACAGTACTGGGCGGTCTTATCTGCTCGCTTGGCTTTTGTTATTCTATTTCAGGTAAGTCTGTTAAGCTATGCGATTTTCTTCACAGGAATATTGATTAGAGATTGAAAGGCAAGTACCAAAGAAACCCATCTTCAATAGAGTTTTTCTGCTTGCAAATATTCAAACTGTTTTGCTTGTACTCAGTTTACTGGTCTTTCTGAGGTGTCATTAGGCTGCAGCAAATATTCTCCCTTTGGAGCTGTGTGGCATAATTCCTCATGGAATTATTTTCCTTCATGGAGAGCAGTTACATAGCCTGCACAGGATCTTGAACATTTTGGGTAAGTGGGCTGTCTCAGAGTCAGCACTTAAATTCTATCTTGTGAAACATTATTCTTTACACATAACAAGAAATAAACAGAAATAATAAATCCTCCGAGATCTTTTGTTATTTTCTACAAGTCAACAGAATACAGTCTGCCCCAGCATGGAAAGTTCATTGGTTCACTGATTTGCTTTCATGGCTTATATTCTGAATGGCAAGAGCCTTCTGTACTCCTTCTTGACCTGGGATCTCTTGACAAGTTTAACCAGTGTCATCTCTGATATTGAAATCTGCCTGTCTTTTCTTCTCATCTGTCAAATATTCCTAAGTGTACCTGAGAGTCTTGTCTGGTTTATATTGCCATCTTCTGCTTCTTCACTCTGACTTCAGTAATTTTCCACCATGACCTGCAAGACTTTTAAAGCCAAATGGGTATGATGGTGTAGGAAAATGCTTCCAGTAATCCTGCTCTTCAGTAATGGATTCTGTACCAGCCTCAACAAACTTGATGTTGGGAGCTGAGTACCTTTGAACCTCTGTAAGGAATAAGACTATTTTAACTACTTAGGCAATTTATTTGATGAATCCAAGTCAAATCCTTTTTAGATCTGATGGAAACATGTTTAAATCAGTCTTATCACTATGATGGAACTGCTTACAAATGTGAATGATTTTCTGAAAGAAGGCTGTCATCAACCATATAATACTATGTGACTTCAAGAAAATGTGCTTGATATGTGCATCATACCTATAGCTCAGGTTTGGTTTTGCTTTAGGGAAGGTGTTTTGTATTATTCCTTCTTCTTTCATTGTATGTTTCTATGTTTGCAGAACTTGGTGATGTTCCTCAGTGTTTTGGTCGACTGGATGATTCCTGACATTCCCAAGGACATCAGTGAACAAATCAAAAAGGAGAAAAGTGTGCTTGTTGACTTCTTCTTAAAGGAAGAGCACAAAAAACTGAAATTAATTGAAAGCTTTATCACATGTGACAAGCGCAAACATGAAAGTGGGACCAAAGACCAAAGAATCAGAGCTGCAAGCTTCTCTCAGTTTAATCAGAGTCAGAAAGGCAGCATTGTCTCCTTCAGTTCACAGCACACAGAAGTGTGACTCCACAAGGGGGATAACCTCTGCAATAACGTTTTACTGTGTTCTGTGATTCTGAAAAAAGAAAGGGAAGGAGAGACAGTTAAGGAAGGAATGGAACAAAAAAGGACACTTCTTTTTCTTTCTTAGAAACTCCATATGTAAGTGTCTCTGTTACATTTTATATGTTATCTGAGCTTCTACAATTTCAGAGTTTACCACTACAGGATATGGGCTATGTTGAGCCTGTAGCTGGTCCCCATAGTGGTGCCTATCAACTGAGTAGGTAAGCAGGAATGCTCCTCATTTATGCAGTCCCTGAATACATTCCTTGTGAGGAATGGGAGATGGAAGGGATACTTCTGCCCTAATATCTGTCTTTTAGCTGATCTGACCAACTCTATTGAAATGTGCACAAGTCATGTTCTCATGGCTTTTAGCTGTCACTATATGGCTGATAACATGTAGAGTCTTGGGGGTTGATGTGCCTTCCTAACTTGTACTGCCACTTAGTGATGTCACGGTAGAGCGTTCAGGGCTACTGGTAAGTGCACTGAACTTTGAGAAGAGAAGGAACTGAAAATAACTGAGGACTTCCTATGTATCTCCATATATATCATATTTTGCTTTGACACATATTTTGCAGGACACTGAACGCATGTGATAATAAGCAGAAGCCACAGTGTATGCATCAGAATTAAGTAAAGCTGCTAGAACTAGAAAGCTCATTGTTATTCATCATCCTGAACAAAAAACTGCATGTTTGATTCTTTTCTCACATAAACTTAATTCAGACAGTATAATTTTTTTTGTGCTGTACTATATTGCTCCTTCTTCTTATACACATTTTCCAAAACAAGTGATTTGAAGACCTTCTGAAACAATGTAATGAATGTAGACTACTGACAGTGTATATATTTGGCGTTTATAAGTGATTCCAATAGGTAGGAAAATTACAGGAAACTGTTCTTTTTAAATACAATTTAAGATTTGTCCTAGTATGATTACTTCACAGTCACCTGCAGACAGATGAAAAACATCCTTGTGAGGCACAGAAGTCATGATACTGTATTTTGTGTCTCAGAGAATGCACTTGATGTGATCACAACATATCTATTAAAATTTAGTAGGTTTCCTCTGTAGTCACCTCAGAAAGAAAGGCACTGGCAAATTGGGTACCCATCTCATCTTGACATTGCTGTCTGAAAGAAATGCATGAATCACCCCTGGGAATTCTTGGCTCTTATTTTATTTTTGAAGGTCCAACAAGCCCTGTTAGGGAATCTAAGGGCCCATACTTTATGTCAGCTGATATTAATGACAACTATGATCTCATTTGCACTACGTAGTATTTTGGTAGGGAGATCTGAGGGTTTGAAACTTTCTAATTGTTGTGGTTTACATTTCTAGTTGATTGATTCAATTAACTTTCTTCAAAGCAAAATGTCTCTGACGGGGAGAAAAGTCAAGTTTTTAAACAGCAGAAATAACAGTCAAGCAAGAACTTTAGAATATTTTATTCTCCTTTTCTTTTTCCAGATAGGCAGAAGTACATGCATGGTTTAGAATGAGTTTCACAAGTTACACTCTTTTTCCAGTAACAAACTGGATGCAACATAGTCAAAGTGAAGGATCTTCTTAACAGAACCATTTCTGCACACTTTCTGCCAACCCAGGAAATACCCTCTTGCCTTTTAAAAAATTCTGAGTCACTTAAAAATGGTCAGAAAAAAAGCTATCCCAAAATTGAATGCATTAGGCACAGAATTTCCGTAATGAGCAACTGAAATGCTTTCTGTGATAATCTATTTCTAGATTTCCTAGCAAAAGGAACTATAGAAGAAGGCAGATATATACTGATGCTCTTGAGTTTCTCCTGAGATTTATATATCTCAACCAAACAAGGCTGGGAAAGAGGCACTGCAGCAAACACAGCTGATGTCCAGATTTGGATCTACTATGGTATCAAAAGCAGGACACAGAGCTTATCTTTACCTGTGATATGCTTTCTGTGTTTCTCTTAACTTGAGAATTTCTTTCACTGAAAATTCCTGCATTTGCTACTTGACCTCAGTCCCTGAGGACTGCATTCATTGTTACACTTCTGTGGTAGCCTCTGGATTCTTCTGATACTAATTTCCATCAGTTCCTGTAACTGTAGATCACTGATTGATTCTTTATTCATTCCCAGTTTCTAACTTTTCCCCTTTGGACAAAGAAAGACTTTATCTGATTCCTTTTAATCAGTATACTCGTAAGTCCAAACATAAAGTACCCCCTTACTATTACACGTATTTCAGAAGCAAACAATCATTATTTCAAGAGACATGCATGGAAAGCTCTCTCTAGGGAAGAGAGCAGGAATGCAAGTAGAAATGCAAAGCAGTTACAAAACCTCTGAGCTTTTGTGATTCCTTGCAATGAAAACGAGTTAAAATCTCTGCAAAAGGAAGGAGAAAAAGAAGTAGAGAAGAAATTTGTGCAGATGCCTCTAAACATTCTGTTCAGATTTTAGTAGATCTGTCCAATAGTTCCAACAGTAAAGTAAGAATAAAAACAACAGTAAAGTAAGAATAAAACAACAGTAAGAGCAAACAAATGAAAATCTACATCCCTTTGTGGATGAATATTTAATGTTACTCAGACACAGTCACAAAATACTGAACCCACATTCTAGGCTTCATGTCTAGAGGCATTAAGAGGAACATACATAACACATACCTAATTAGAACAGTGAGAACATTAAGTAAAAAAACATAATAATGACCCTAATATAAAGCCTTAACAGAGGTATAACTGGTCCTGATTACTAGGCAGTGTAAGGAGTGTAAGGAGACCTCTTAGTCTCTCTACTAGCAGAATCTTACAGTAACTAACAGAGATTGTTGTTCCATGTACCACGGCTTCTCCTTTGTGCTGCTGGTGCAAGATTAAAACAGCTTTCTGAAGTTATTCAAGAGAATAAATTGACTCAGATTGAAGGTGTCTTTGCTCCTTGCTTCTGAGTCACACTATGAACTTAAACACCATTCTGTTAGAGAATCCAGATTCATACAGACAGATTAACCTCTTCACAGTGGCTTTCTCCAATTTTAAAGAGGGCTTCCAAGAATTAAACAAAGCTGCAGGGGGATGTTAGCCCTTTCCATCATGCCTTTTTAAAGGAGACTTGCCCTCTTTTTAAAGCATCATCACTAGTAGAAGTATCACTGTAATTTTCTTCAGCATTCTCAAAAAGGAGAAAAATGTTGTTATCTAGACCTCTCCTGCAGTTTGATCTTTCATGGCATTAAAAACTAGTTAAACATCGTCCAGGGAAGAAAAAGGTAGACTATGTGGAAGTATATCTGTTAAATTATTGCTTGGAAATATCTATCTCAACATGCACGGTATTTACCACTGTTACCAATAAACACTTCAGACTACAGGAGAGTCTGTTGCTGTTCTGTTCTGTTGCTGTTACACACTCTCACCCTTTAACTAGGCATAGATGGCCTTATATCCCACTATTCTTTTGCTTTTGAGAAGAAATTGCAAACAGTTATTTGTTTGTTTATTTATTTATTTATTCGTTTGTTTGTTTGCTTGTTTGCTTTTGTGACCCATACTTGTAGGTAACTTCCTCCACATCATATATATTTCACATGTCTGGTAATATCAATTTTTCAGATGTAGCAGCAGGAATTGTTTCTACTGCATTTTGAAGAGAAAGGAAAAGGAAGGAAGTGAATCGCTCTGAAAGTAATACCAATATTTTCCTGAAAACTACAACAAAAACACATAATAGCACTATTTGACAGAGCAAATTCTCAGCTACAAAACACTATTTTTCAACACAGTCAAACAAATCAGCTATGCATTTTTGCCAGTCATGAACAAAAACCTGTGTGCCATGATTGTTAAAATCTGCATGGACATCTGCAATGTGCCTTGTCTTTAATTTTACTGTTATCACTGTGTCATGGTTTTATGATTTTGGGCTATTGGTATTCCACATCATAACATCATGTAGTACACTGGGAGTTAAGGATTTAATTTTCCCGGTCTGGATACCTGTCCCAGAAGAACTACATACCCCAGGGGACTTTGCGTTCAGAGAGGAGATAAAGCCCCTGGCAAGGTCATGAGACGAGGCTCTCCCTCCTTCTGCTTGTCTTGACTGCATGTCTTGCCTCTGCATTAGAGTAAGGCTTTAGGCTTTCAGACACTTTCTCTCATTTAATTTGATTTATTGGCTCAAAGTCTAATTATATTGTATTATATTGTATTACAGTGTGTTACCTTGCATTTGATATCTTACTTAATAAATTAGTTTGTTTCTCCTCAGATTGTTCCCATTGTTTTGTTTCAGGCCCATCTCTCTATCTGTTTTCCCTCATCTCTCTCTGGGGCACAGATCCGTGGGTCCCTCCACCCCGCTAGTCACGGAATGGGGCCAAATCAGCCCATAAACCATTGACACACTGCTGAAAGACAGCACCCACCACTTCACTGTGCTAGAATCCACTGATTAGTCTCCATAAACACTCAGCACATGTTAATGTATCTCAATGGGTGCAACCTTTTTCTGCATGGAGGAATTCAATTCCACTCCTTTGTTTCATATGCACTTCTATGTCAGATTCCATTATGTCAGGCCTCCCCTCTGCTGCCATGAATTGCACAGCAACAAAATGTTACAGAATATTGGCAGGAAGGTTTAACATCTTCTGCCATTCCACTGACACCTGCCTCTGACATTGTGAGCTAATATAATAAAATAAGAAGCATTACTTTCAGAGCAGCCCTCATTCATCCAAATTCATAACTCTTGACTAGGAAGGACATTGATGCGTGTTTCATGTAAAAGGTTCACAGACAATGGATGAATTATATTTCTAGCAAGAAAATGAGTATGCATTCTGTATGTCATATGTGCAACCTAACCATTTCTAAAGGAAAGAAGAATCGCGTCACCAAAGCTATTCTGATTCAAGACATTGTAGTACATGATGCTGGTATAAATAACATAAAATTGGGAAGAATATAAGAACATAGTTCTGCAATGTAGTTATATCTATGTACGTAATATAAGATAAATAACTTCTGGTAAGAGAGAGTCTGTTATCACGTGTCGTAGTGGTTGATTTCAGTAAATTCAATAAATAGGAGAATAATGTGATCCATTAGCTAGGAAAGGAATTTACTGCCTTGCAGATGAACCACATATTTTGGGGAAAGACTGTTCTAAGACTGTGAATTGCACTTTTAAATTTAGAAAGAAACTAGCTAAGAAGGTTGGACAAAGGAAGCAGAGATTCATCAGGAAAGCCAAGATGTAAGAATAATGCTGTTCTTATTTGAATAAAGATCTCTGTACAGTGTTAGTAGGCACACAACTTTTATAAGTTGTCAGTATGAGATTCAAGTCCACAGCCTCATCGTTTAGTGGAGCTCTAATTATCATAACTGGATCAGTGGAAAACAGTCACTAGTGCTAGTGCTTCTAAATTCTTCAATGTAAAATGCTTTGGTCCGTTATAATCATAGAATCATAGAATCATAGAATCATAAAATCATAGAATCATAGAATCACCAAGGTTGGAAAAGACCTAAGTTGTTATTCTGCACTGACTGCTATAACTAATGTGAGATGATCCTTGATAGATGTATTAATATCGATAAAGTCTTCACAGTTTCATTTGAAATTCATACATCGGGGAACAAACTATTTTCTACTTAAAGAGAAATAAAAGGAAGAAATCAGTCTGATCTGAATCTGACCCGTAAGGTAAAGTCTGTTTCATGAGTAATTTCTGACTACTCTTCTGAATTTAATGCCCAAAGGAAAGCAGCAATTAAAACAAAACAAATAAACAAAAACCACAACAAAAGAAACAAGCAAATAACAACAACAAAAAGCAATGGAGTCTTTAACTACACAAACAGGGAGAGACCTTCTGGCATTTTCTACCTTGGAATTAAACAGAAAGCTATCCTTACCCTAAGAAGCCAGTTCTCTAATGGGATTATTTTCTAAAAATATTTTTAGTAGACACTTTAAATGAGAGATGAACACAACAATAAAGTCATCTCGAGCTTTCCAGGTAAGATTTAAATTTGCTTGCTAGATTTCAGTTTCTTTTCCATCTGTTCTGACACTTAAAAAAATAAAAAAATAATAATAAAAAAATAATAATAAAAAAAGAGAGCGAGAGAAAAAGAGAGAAGATAGTTACATATGCCTAATAAAATACAAATCAGAAACTAAAAGGAAATTACTCGTCTGTTTTTACTTTATAATATGTATGCAATTTATGAATTTTATAGCAACTTTCAAAGTACAGCCAACTAATTCCAAAAATATCCTTCTATTGATGCTGGGAGAGTTTTTGATTGCTCATTTGTTTGTATTTTACTAAATCTAAGCTTCTGAGAAACAACAACATAATTTCATGAGAATTTGGAAACACTGAAGGTAGGTAAGAAGATAAACCTATAAGGACTTCTAAATAAAGAGTATTCTTACTGTCAAGGTTCTGATTAAGTCTGGAAAAAAAAAAAAGTGTGTGCGAAGTACACTCTTAGTTATAAACAAAATTATACCAACTGTAAAGACTAGAGTTTTGGTTTTTTTTTCTCATTTATTAACAAAAAATGTTTCTAAAATAAATATACAAACATATATATGTCGGCGCACAGTTGAGTTAGAGAGCTCTCACAGTTTCTTGTAGCATCAGAATAGTTCTCCAAATAGTTCTGCTTATTGTGTTCAACATAATCTTATATACCATTCAATTACAAGCCACAAATTCCTGTCCCTCTAATCAGTTAATTGGCCTAGCTTCTCTCAAACAACAGTGATAAATGATAAAAGGTTTCTTAAGTATGATAAGGTTAACAATGCATACAAACAGAATCTCCTGTTTACCCTTAGACACAAGCAGATACCATTTGCTCTCCCTCTTACACTCTAGACTCCCAAGGCTTCACAGAGCCCAGGTGGAACACCTGCTCACAAAATAGAACAACCCACTAAATTAGATTTCTCTACAAAACAAAATACAGAAAGTTGTTTACAGCTATAGTCGCTTACTCCCATTGTTTCTTGCCTTACCATTACCTCCATTTTTTATTTAATTCATAAGCTTTTTCTTGTAGACCAGCAACTTGTACTACTGTTAAAAAATCATCTATGGGTAATAAATCTTGATGCAGCACAGAGTGAGAGGCATCCATATCTACCAGAAAACAAACACCTTTACTCTGCTGTGTGTGCACTGCATTCAGTCCACTGGGGGCAAAACACAACATGGGTCCTTCAAGGTCCTGCTCTAGTGCAACTGCTCCTGTTCTTCCCAATTTCTTTCTTTCATTACAATCCCTGTTTCCATATACTTTCCAAGTCTCCTCATTTAATTTGTCCAATTCCCTTACTTCAATTCCTTTAACCTGTATATTACTGGGAGAAAACAAAGACATTCTTGCTCAGACTAGCGAAAGTCCTTCTGAGGTGTAAACAAATTTAGCAAACGTGGAGGCAGAAAAACTGAAAGATTGTAACTATTCATCCAGACAGACACTCTCAACATGATCACAAGATGTCTAGCTTGTACACCTGGCATGGGTGTGCGCAGATGCTATGAAGACCATTGGCAAGCCCCTCCAAATCTGGGGTGGCTTGGCAGAGGTGAGTGGCAAGGAACTGTGGGTTCATGTGTGACAAAGGAGCAGACGGTGGATTGCCAATTGACAGAAGAGCCTATCACTTATACATGGAACCCAATGTATGTTGTCCCAGTCATGAACAGCTGGGGGAGATGACCTGCGCAGAAGGAGGTGAGCGCCAACATCAAGCTTCATCTCGTGCAGTAATGGTTCTACGGCAAGCTGGGAGCAGGGTGCAGTGGGTGGCACATTGCTGAGCGGCTGCTGATGGAGTACTGTGCCGAGATGGGAGCCCCTGATGGCTCCTTCCTCGTGAGGGAGAATGAAACATATTCTGTCCTTCGGTATATTGAGAAAGTAGAGCATTTCCGCATCCATTGGCGGCTGGATACTAACATCCACAAGTTCTTTTCAACTGAAACCCACGTATGTGACAGCCTGTATAACCTCATAAGCTATTACTGGGAGACACTGCTGAGGTACAACGGACTTGAGATAAGGCTGACAGAGCCGGTGTCTCAATGCAACACTCACAGCAACATAGACTGGATGCCGCAGGACGGCACAAGGGGGACAAGTTCAGCTCCAGCGTGATCTACTTCAGGGCAGGATGGAAGATCGAGCTCTGCCAAATGTGGCAAGAGAGTCACATTTAATAAGGCACTTGACCAAGTGCACACTGTTCATCACCCACAATAAAAGTTTTTATTCTGCACTAACAAAGAGTCCATGTCTAATTGCCACAGTTAAACTTTCCTCTTGTTTGTCTTCCTCAACCTGTATGAGGACCTTTAGACACGATTTCAAAAGGGCACAGAGGGGCTTTACCAGTACTCCATAGTTGTAGGTGGCACCACCTCGTCATCCTTAGGAAAATCTGGAGCTCCTTAGCTGTTTGAGGTTCTGGAGTCTGGCAGATTATTTCCTTCCTTGCTGTTTCCTAGGGTTCAGGATCCCGCAGCGATTCCATAATACAAATAGGTTACCTGTGGCTGTGCCACTAGGGCACAGAGAAACTCGATAGCCATTAAGTCTGACAAAGTTTAGTAAGCTAATTGTCCGTGTTGTGCATTACCTCCTTTGTTTTGATAGCTATCAGGTCATCCATGTCTTTGAATTTGAAG